ATAGGAACAACACGCGTTCTCCGCGCTTGTCGGTCGAATGCAAAAGGCGTTTGGGAGGCAAGGGTGACAAGTCCGAAGCTGATATTTAGATTCGTAAATTCATGCGTAATATGGGGAAATATAGCATAAGTTTGTACCTTCAAACTAAGTACTGTAGGGACAAGCCAATACGCGAAAACTGATGGATCGGGAGGTGAGTGCGCTCGATGCCACTTCTTCCAAGAATGACTGAAGCCTCGTCGGAAGACAAACTGAAGTCCAGAACACAGATAAGCACGGGGGTTGGCAAATCGTGTGTGTGTGTGTGGACGTATCAGTCAACAAAACCCCATAGGGGGGGGGGGTGAAGCGTTAATGCGCAATAGATTGCATGTGACTATCGTATGACATGAGTCGCATGACAGTTAGGGTGGATTTGCGATTTGTTCACAAACCCGGAAATTCACAACGCGTCAGGTGACGAAAGACATCCCGCTAGTGTATAGCATTGGTAGTGATTGCTTTAATGCTTTAATTTTACAAAACGTGGTTGCATAACCCGTTTGAAAATACACACAAATAGAAATCGTGCGAATTTGGAATGTGAGCTGGCTGAGTACGATTATAGCAACTACTATGAGCATCAACAAGAATCGTCAAATCTAACATGCGCACAAATTATGCACGCACGACGATAGTTGTGCACAATAAATCTGAAAATCGAAACGGACACAAAAGATTCACTGTCTTATTAAATCATGAAGCGCACGTTACACTCGAGTGGATAGTTCTCGTCGCCAAAACACTTATCGCACTTAAACGGAGAGGGGTGCGAAACATTTATGCCAAAACCAGTGCGGGAAACAACGAATAGAAGAGCACACAAGGGGTTCAGTTGACCTTGATGTGTGAACAGAATGGAGACGGGGGGATTGGGGATCGCATAATCAGGCTCCTGGAAACAGAAATCACAAACTAGCACGATAATGGATGATTGTGCGGTGAAGGAAGAGTAACACATTCCAGCATTGGGATAGGGACTGAATAGATTAACAATGAGAATGCTAGGATAACGCCTTAAGTGCCTAAAAACGTGATTGAAATACACCAGACCGGGGGGCGTTTGAGCCTTATGCGACAGTCAGAGTTGGGAAGGTGTGCAAAAAGCGTCTGGCACGAAAGAGAAAACCTCTCTTCTAGGAAACGAGTGAG